TATTCTAGCTTGTCAATATCTGTAATTCGAGTTTCTAATTCGTATGAAAATATAGACTTAGTATTTTGACTTCACAAACTTCTAATTTGAACCTGTGCTGCATTCAATATACCACTTCACACTCAAAAATTGTTGTTTATTTTTGTTTTTTTAATATTTACATTTAAATTAACAAAATGAGTAACGTATAGTTTTAAAATTTGAATTATAATCAACAATTTGATACTAAACTTATTGACATAAATTGATGTAATAGTAGTTCAATAAGATTTTTCATTGCGAGTCAACAAACAAGATGACATGGCTTTTCACCTGTGACCTGTATGGAAAGGGTTAAATATTAAAGTTGAAAGTTATAGTGTACTTTTTTGTATACATTGTGTATACTGAAATTACACTAAACTATTTATTTTCACATTATTCATATGTTTGATTGCAAACTTATGGCATCTTCTGTTATTTATTTTTTATAGTTCCATCCACATCTGCAACAAACTATCAGACTCTTCACCAGGGTTCTGGAGAACCTAGATTTAATGGTCTTCCTACAAGCCCAGGAACCCAAGGCAACTACTCTTCACTTGTAATGGGTGCATCATCCATATCTCCACCACCTAAACCACCAGTCCAATCCTTAGGTTTTACTACATCATGTGGGAATGTTGGCCAAAGCATAATTACACCTAGATGGCTGCAGAAGGTAAAATATTCATTTCAAGCTGTTTACTAGTTGGGAGAATAATATATTTATTTTTCATTTCTATTCTGAAATATATAATCAATTCTTTCTTAACCCTATCACCCCGGATATCCTTTACTGCACATGACACAAGGTTTTAGTGTCTTACATTCAAAATTTTATTGAACTACTTTTTGTTATGTTATACCAGTTAGAATAGCATAAAATCTTAGCTAATAATCCATATTTTAATAGTATACAAGTTTTAAGTTCTTAATTCTACAAGGCAATATTAAAAAAAATCCTGAATTTCCACTAGTGTGACCCAATGTGATACATTTTGTCTTAGAATGTCATCATCCCTATTTTATCCATCACCCCTCGAAAATGTAAGAAATTCAACGTAAGTTACTCTCTATAAAATCGTAATTGCTCAGACAAAACATAATTTTTATAGTATTCAATTTTGTTTGGCTAGAAAGCTATCGAATAGAAAATCAGACCCCTCCTGCCACACGTACCTGTCACATCCTTTCTTTCACAATTCGTTGATAGTTCTCTCTTACGTTTCATTATATATTACCTTTAACCAATAGAAAGTCCGGGTTTTCAACTATCAAATGACGTATTGTACAATGTTGTATTCTGAACAGAATATTGTCAGTTTCACTCACAGTACAAGTTTTTTTCCCGTGGGAAAGTTAACGAATAGCTTGGGTGAATTTGTAACGGCTCTTGTTGCATAGTTAGAAAGCCAGGAAAATTTTGAGAGGTAAGTGAATTTATCTATTTTTTTGTGTCTATATTCTTTGGCGCATTATTTAATTAAATGAAATTTATTAAGTGCATTACTATCTATAGTATAAAACATTAGGGCTAACTCTCTATGAAACCTGACAGCAAGAAAAAAGAAGATTAGGTAAATACTTTATTTCTTGTTTGTCATATTTATTCTTTATTTATTATACTAAAAGTAAGTAACATCTAAAAATAAGAATCTTTTTAAGTTATTTAACACTAGATTAGGTATTATAATATTAATAATATAATTAAAATAGTTCACAAGGCACGTACGTGAGTAGCTCGTGGGTAATGTAATTTGATAGCATAACATGAGCTGCATGTTTCCCAAGTGATTTAAAAGTTATAATTGCATGGATAGTAGTTAGACATGGTTCAAAGAGCAATAAAACAAAATTTAATTATAAATAGATGTATAATGTTACAAACTAGAGCTATTTAGGGTAAACGAATGTAGTTTCATGTTACAAGTTGAAGTCATTCTAGAAAGAAAAAAGGTTAATTTAATTTTCTTTCAATATTTTTTGGGTGGTTATGAGGTAGGTCAAATTGACTGATCCCATTTTGAGATAGAATAGAGAAAATAAGATAAACTATAAAGGTTTACTGAAAAAAAACGTTTGAAATGCATTCAGGAGGTATGTAAAAGACTTGTAATATTAACTGAAAGACTGCCAAATGTCATTAAGATATACCCACTATATTGAGAGTTATAAGTATTAAATCTATAAAGACATTAAACAAGTACAAAAAGGTCATGTGTTGAGTCAAATTGACCAAGCCTGTGTTGAGGGTGTTAATTTAACCTTCAAAGGAGTTTGATCTCTTCTGTCATATTATTATTATTAAGGGTGAATAGATGTTGAAAAACAAACAAGAAATATTCTGTCTTTTAGCCTGATTATATTAAAACATCACCTACTAGTCAATCAGTAGTAGGACATTCTTCCCCTCCAGCCAACAGTATTGGCTCTACTCAGCAGTATTGTTTATCCAAGCAACATGAAAGGCCTGTTGGAGGAATTGCAGTAGGCTACGATCCTGGTTTCTATGCTCAAATGGCAAGAATGAATATTCATGGAAGTTCATCATTTTTATCAGTGAGTATGGAAGTTTATTCAGAAAAATTATTGTTTAGGATTTATGCAGAACTTGGATTTAAATGGGGCTTTAACTGTTGCAGAAAAACAAGTAAATAAAAATTTTTCAACAGAAAAATAATTAAAATTTGGAGAGGTTTTGTAACTTGTAATCAATATAAAATATATACATGTAATTGTAAAGAGTAGCACCCTGGTGGGTGTAATTGTTGGAGTTTCAATTAAAACTACTCGTTACACCAAATTTATTTATTGGAGGATTTGTTGTGACAAGTGGAGCCACAAGTTGCTAACTAAAGGTAGTTTACAGTTAGACTAAAGAAATAGTCTCAGGCCAATGGTGAACATTTATTAAACATTTAGTAACTTCAATAAAAAATATAACTTCGCTTATCAAAAACAAACTTTAAATGTTTTCCAAACTTGGGTAAAATACTTATAATTTCGTTAATACATTTTTCACATAGATAAATTTAACGGGATATTCTATACAGTTCTTACATTAACTGATTAAGAGAGAACTATACTTACAACAGAGTTGGGCTGGTGGTAATTTTGTTAGCATTAGACATTTTTGACCTTTCTAGGAACTTTTCTGACTTCAGAGCTTTTGAGGAACTCCTGGGAGAACTTCTCAAGTCCGGAGGAACTGATTTTTCAGTCCCAAATATGGGCTTATAAACCAAATGTTCTTGGTATTATCTCGATCATCTAAATAGGACACAGCATCACCCGCAAGTAGTCCTGTGATTTTATTGGGTGCTTTAGGGGAATCCCCGGGCTAATCCAAAACTAAAACCAGAACTCTCAAGTACTTGGTTACAGTTAGGTTGTGTTAGCCGGTTACCTATTTACTTGTACTACTACACCCATGTTCTGTAAGTGATATCCCCTCAAAGTGCCGATTTCGTTCGCTAAACCAAACTTTTTCGTAGCTTTTCTAGTTCTAAGGGGTTGAGGTCAGCAATCCATCAACCTGTCACAAGTACTAGTGCACTCATCTCATTTCTAGGCAATGCTTTTTCCGTAACTAGGCTTCTGACCTTGTTTCCTAGTTCCTAAGCTTATTTCACAATATTGTCTTGTTGCCTCTCTTTTTTTTTATATGCCCATGGCTACTTATCTACTTAGACTTAAAGAACTGTTAAAACTTTATTCTTAAATTTTGTTTTACGCACTTTCAAACTAATAAAATTCTGAAGCAATTGTAAAATTTCCCCAAAAATGAACTAATTGCTTCATAATTGTAACTTCGTTGATGGAACAGTATATAATGACAGTACACAATCTTTACTCATTTTATGTGGAAATGCTCATCAGAACTTATTTTATGTAATTTTTTTTTCCCCAAATTTATTGTTTATTTTATATAGTTAAAGCTTGTGAAGCCCCCCCCCCTAAGTGTCACAGCGGAATATCTGCGGACTTACAACGGTAGAAACCGGGTTTCGATACCCATGTAGCTTTGTACTCAATTCCAAACAAACAAACAAAGCTTGTGAACAAGTTTCTTTATTCAATTTTTAAACAAGTAAACAACTATTAAATGTTATTTTACTGTACTTCATGTAATTTGTCCCTTTTCTTGAGTCTAGCTATTCAAACCTTTTTTTGTTAGCTTGTATGTCATAGGTTTACGAGCTTTTATCAAGAAGTTATTTGGTATTATAAAATAGTAGATTTTTACTGTTAAAACAATGAAAATGTGAAATGATCTAATTCTTTTTTCTACTTCAAAAAAAATTGCTTTTATCTTTAGTTTGCTCATGTAACACACGAGTTGCTTGAAAATATCAGGTGAAAACAAAATCTATTTGAAGTAAATGCCCAGTTAAAACAGAATACTTTTGTAAATAATTATTGGTTCTGCCATTCTTTTAATAAGTTTTCTATAAATTTTATTTGTTCTTTAACTTTTTAGTACTTTTATTTATTGTTTGTTTTACACTCACTTAATACTTATGATTGCTGTTGTTGTAATTTGATGTGTTGCAGGGCATCTGAAAAAAGTTCATGTACCTTTATTGAAGGCTCAAATTGTTGTATTAATAACCAAATTGCAATGTTAGTTTGAGTACATTTTATTTATGCAATAACATAAACAAATTTATTGGTTGTGTTCAGATGAGAAATAGTTTTTTTTTTGAGAATTGAGTGGAATTTAATTGTAATATCTTGTATCTAAAAGAGAAAGAATGTTGCCAGAACAGACTCAATGTCCACTTTGTCTTAAGGTAGCATATACCCTTTATATAATGTTATCTAGGTTTTGGCCTCTTTATCAGAAAAACAAACAAACATTTTCATACTATGCTTTTGTATGAAAATATATTAAAATAGGTAAAAAAGATGTATTCTGGCACATGTTGTGTAACATTACAACTGTGATTAATTTGCATATTATAAAAATAAAGTAATATAAAAGAAATGTCTTATGTTCTTGATAACTTTTACAAATGTGACTGAATTGCTCCTGAAAATGGATCCAGACTTGATGGGATAGAGAGAATTAGTCTGAAGTAAGGAAAACTAAAAATTAATTCAAGGTCACATTACAGCACTAATGAGTATGCCCTGAGTAGGACATATGCTACAGTGACTCGTTAATGGTCATTGAATAAAAACCAAACCTCTTATCAACTTTACCTTAGTACACATTATAGGTACGCTAATAATGCATATGTATGCCAATTGTGAAGTGTATAGCATCAACAGATTTTAAGAAAAACTTGTTTGAAAATTTGACACAAAATTGTCACTTAAGGTCATTGTCTAGTTGAAAAAGGTATACGTACACCACATTCTGCAAATTGTGGAACTTACATCCTTAATATGATTTTGGGTATTAAAGGGTATATGCTACCTTCAGTAGTCTTAAAAAGGAAAGTAATTAAGTTGTTGACTTAGGAGTAATGTCTTAATTCTGGACAACCTTTTTTTTGTTTATTTTTTCTGTGGGAGGTTTTAAATCAGTTTGTATTGTTTTGCATAACATTTCATGAAAAAATAAATTTTATGATTGGTTTATGGTAGAACTCTGTGAATGAATTGATATAATTGATTACCATGAGTAGTGATTACATCAATTTGTGTTATAAACTAACTGACTAATTAGAATTATGATTAATCTATTAATGTCATGAAAATAATCAACTAATCAAAATTAATATTTCTGATTATTACTGCTTTAGATCATTTCCACTGGGTAATTGAAATATAGTCATAATATTTGTTTGTTGTTAAGTACAAAGTTACATATTGGGGGGGGGGGGGTGACTTGTGATTTGAGGGTTTTGAGTTTGATTTCCATTGCCACTAAACTTGCATATCCTGTCTTTGTTATTGCAAAGCTACTAAAACTAGCTGCCACTGTCATTAATTTTGAACTGTTGACTAGAGGGAAGGCACTGGCTGGCAGTACCCACCACCAACTTCCAATTAAGTAAAGTGTAAATTTTTTTTTCCTTTTTACATAGTTATGTTTCTAATTTCTGTAATTCTCCATCCATTTTTTTTTCAGAAGTCTATAAATGTATTATTTAATATTGTATAAGTAGGTGTAGATCTAGGTGTTTAAACTCATCCTTTCATTTTTTAATAAATTTATAAAAAAACAAACAAATAATGTCATTATACCACCTTATAGTATCAAAAAGAAACATTATGTATCAGTATTTTATTTGATTTGGCTGTTAATTACCTTAATCTGAAATCCACTCATCTGGAATCTACAGTAATCCAGTTAAGGCCCCAGCTAATAACTGACTATTTCTAAGCTAATACAATAATACGAATGTCAATTAAGTATTGCCATGATAAATTTTTGTTCCTTGACTTTTGGGCCTGGCATGGCCAGGTGGTTAGGGTTCTTAACTCACAATCTGAGGGTCACAGGTTCAAATCCCTGTCCCACCAAACATGCTTGCCCTTTCAGCCATGGGGCATTATAATGTGATGGTCAATCCCACTATTCATTGGTAAAAGAGTAACCCAAGAGATGGTGGTGATGATTAGCTGCCTTCCCTCTAGTCTTTCATTGCTAAATTAGGGACAGCTAGTGGAGATAGCCCTTGTGTAGCTTTGCGTAAAATTCATAAACAAACAAATCCTTGGCTTTTTCCAGATACTAATAATGTGTCTAGACTTTAGAGATCAAACTTTCTATTTTTAGGACACCTGAATCTCTTGTAGTCTTGTTACAGAATTGATTTTTCATTGTTTAGAAGTTAAAATTTGTGGGAGAAAGGTGTTTTACATATTGTTTATGTCTACAATAAGTAAAAAATGATATGACTGTAAGTAACAACCTTTTTTTCAAAGAAAATTTGTAAATAGGGAATCTGTTAACCAGTGCTATAATTTCTTTTTTTAAATATCATTAAAAGTAATTATAACTATTTAATTTTAATCAAAAAATATTAAATGTTTGTTTCTGTTTTTATTTTCAATGATTTTATTATCAATTGCATAACTAGAAATAAAGATGTAATCCTTGAAATTGATGTATTATAACTTGACTGAGCTAATCATTTACAGAATATATTAACATTATTTTAACTAACTGACATAAGGACTCTGGTCAGCACTGGTTAAGCCAAAGTAATATATTATTATAGTGAATGTCTCTTCTTCCATATGAAAAATACTGAAAATTTGGTTACAGTGTTACACAACCTAACTTTTTAAAAGCTAACTGGTATGATATCATCATAGTATAAAAAAAAATTAAACATTACTGCAGTTTGTGTGGAGAAGTTAAATGTTGTTGCTACTTGTTAACATAATAATATTGATATCAGACATTGAATTATAACATTGAATAATGAATTAGAACACTATGTCATAACATTTTTCACACACCTTAGTTAATTTAGGTTACTGAATGGTGAATTAAAAAGGACTCAAAACCCCATAAATATTATATACAATTCACAATTATAAGAGGCCTAACTGTATTTCTTTGGTTTGCTGTCCCAAGCTGTGTTTACCTAGACATACAGTGTGAAACAAAAGTCACATGAATGGAAACTGCGGCTTAGGTATCTTAGTGATGTTTGGCACTGTGTTGTTTAAAATTATGGTGTTTTTACTTTTTAATAGATAAACTATAGTTTTTTTGAGTTGCAGTGTTTGTATACATGAGGTTTTTTATTATGTTCACCAAATAAAATTGTCATCAAATCAGGTAATTTTAAGTTTGCTCAGGTCTTTATTGAACATTGTTTTTATGTTTATCCTATTCAACTAACATATGCTAATAAACTGGCTAACTAGTTAATTGTTTCTAATTGCAATCATGGAATAAAAATGTTACTAGCCTTATGGAAGATAGTAAATATTGGCAAAAGGTAACCTTCAGAATAGGTCTATGTTATAAAACCAAGGGTAACTCAAAAACTAATTAAAAAAAAATTAAAACAACAAGAATAAAAATATGAAGACTAATACTATGTTAGAATAATGCAGTGGTGGAAAAAGTCATAAAATAAGCAGCATACACCTTTTTTTTGCTTGTATGGGAGGAGGGTTTTTTTGTACGAAGTGTGTACTAATTGATTAATCAAATGTAATCAATTATTGAGCCCACTGATTAATTCATAAACAGATACCACTGATTGCCAAGCTGTGGCTTATAGTACGCTTTTAAGAATAAGATGTTTCGAAGTCATTAATAAGAACTTTCAATTTAAAAACTGTGTAGTTCAGAACTCAAAAGTAACTTATAAGATAATAAAGTGAGTTGTATATAACAAATTGACTAGAAATACTTGAAATTAAACTAAAATCCACATTTTGTTGCAATTTTGACACCACTCCAATACTAGTTTTTGGCACTTTCACATGCCCTCCTCGGCCAGAGAAGTTATTGTGTTATTATTATTATATATGTGTTAATATAGCAGACTGCTCCTTCTAGACTGGAAGAGCAGTTTGCAGACCTAAGTTATTTTTATTGAATGAAGTGTAAAATTTTATTCAAAAATAGATGATTGTAGCTGCCTGATTTTATTTCATTGGTAAAAAAATGGATATTGGTGTGTTAAAAATAAATGGTAAAAAGTAGTTAAAATAAGAGTTCCTGATTTCTCATCAACCACTTGTACTGACTAGATAAAAGCTATTTATAAGTACATTGTTAGACCTTTGGCACCTCAGCATATGGAAAAAACATAAGTGGTGATCTCATTCTTAGGTAAAGACCTTGCTATTTGAAGAATGAACTGTAAACAAATCTATTGTTCAAGTTTCTCCAGTGGCTATGACTTGCTGATATAATGACAAAGAAAAATTTCTTTGATTTGAAGTGCTCAAATCTTTCTTATTGATATATAAAATATATTCACACACCATTCAAAATGAAAGTCTATAAGTGTAAATTTCACTAAGCTTATATACTCTTGTTATGGCTGCATTATGTTTTTGATATAAGTGAACCATAACCTAGCTGTAACGATAGCCAAATGGATGTTTGTTATGGAGTCTACCAGTGATAAAGACGTTTATAGAGAAAACTGACACTATATATTCTAAAAGTCATTGCCAGATTATAATCATTAAAAGAAAATTCTTCAAGATAGATTGACCATTTTTTCCATTCCTGTGTTAAATACAGAATGTTTACTTTTTTATACTCTATAGGGAAGTTGCTATATGTTTGAGTAACATCTACAAACAAGGTTTTGATTCTGTTAGAAGTATAAAGTTAGTGAGGGTATTATTGTAGGAAACTAAGGTGTATGCTACATACAACAAATCTGTATATACATGTCCTTTGATTCTAGGGAAATAAGTATATAAACTTGCTTCAGGATAGAAATGTACTTCCCTCTGTGCCTGTAGAACCTCCAAAAACAGTTACATCATATGACAAACCAACTTGCAACCCTGAGTAAGTACATATGTACATCACAGTGTTTATACAATTTTCATTTCACACAGTAGAACTGTTATAAATTCTGATAGCTGAATTTTTTTAATGTTTGTAGATTGACTAAAATGATAATGCTCTAGTTATGACTAAATAATATATTTATAATTGGTTTTTCAAATTCTAATATAAAGATAACAGAAAGTTGTTTTTCTTTTTTTCAGAATCAGTTTTTACAGGGAACAAAAGATTTTCTTTATTTTTCTTCTCTGTAATCTCAACATCTTTGTTTTTTGTGACATGTAAGGAAAAGTAAAAATTAACAAACAAGTGACATCCTTTATAATTGATAGAACACATACAGGAATGACTTGTAAATAAGTTGTATAATTGAAATTTTAACAGTGGAATCATGAATATTAAGTTCACTTCAAAAAGTATTTGTATTTATTAAATTTTACAACTTGCTTTTGGTAGTGGGTAGATGCTTGTGATGTGTATCATTAAGTTTCTGGTAGTACAGTAACCTCTACTTGGAGCTTCTTTTTAAGTGAGTAATGATATTAGCTATGGTTTGAAACAAAAATAACAGTAGCTAATATCATTACTCACTTAAAAAGAAGCTCCAAGTAGAGGTTACTGTACTACCAGAAACTTTAGCACACAAAAAACAACTGTTTTAAAAAGAGTTGCATTAAAAACAAATGGTACAAGTACACTGAATTTATAATTACTTCTGTGTTCAAAGAGCAACAACACTCAGTCACATTCCTGTTCACAGTTCAAAGTCTATATTGCAAAAAAATGGTAATATGTAACTGGCTCTGAAAGTTTCATGCTCATTCCCACTTTTCTATGGGTGAAAATTAGCGAACTGATCTTAATGGATCAACTAGCATTTGTTTTAGTTAGACTTCAGAAAAACTGACTAACCAATGATAGTATAGTAAACCACTATATTTATGTAGCTGGAGATCAATTTCATCATAATAGACATATGTGGAAATAATGGCTTTTGCATTATTAAAACAGCTAAAATAAAGGTTATATAAAAATAATATATGTTAATTATGTTCTTGAAATGTTGAAAATTAGGATTTAATACTGGTTATAACCAGTATTGGGATCTAATTTTATTAGATTTTGCCACCATTTGATTTAGAGGCCAGTAAGTTTTTAAGTAAGATGAGAAAACCTTAGAAGTTGGCCACTTTTATGTTGCCACTTAAAAATGATAATTATCGAAATTGGAAGCATGGGTAGTATACATACTTGACAGAACTTGTGTCAGAATAACATTTTCAAGTACATGTATGAATATATTTACCTGTAAACTATGGAGATGCTCTCTTATTTTTTATTAAGTTCACTGTAATTGAAATTCCAAAAATAGTGTCATGTAAATGTTAATTTCATTACTTTTCATTTTTTTTCCCAGTCGTGTTTTCCAGTGATGATAATTTTATCACTATATTAAAAGTTGTTAGAGATTGCAGTTATGACTACTTCATCATATTTTTATTTTTGAAATAAATAATATCTTGTACTGTGAATACTCCATTTTTTATCAGTTATTGAGCTTTAATATATTTGAAGCAATTGTAGCATTATAACTTGGTGTGTAACATTTTTGCAACTTAATTATTCTTTGCCTGTTAGTGTATTTTTTGTCAGGTTTCTAAAACATTACAATATTTTAAGATTTTTCAGTCAGAAGCACTTATAATTTTTTGCATCCCATATATTGATGTAGTTGTTTCCATCATTTTATAAAATTTTCATTGTTGAATTTGTTAGAATATAAAGGTACATTTCACTTGTCTGTTATTTTCTTTAATAGATTTTGTTTAGGTTAATTTCAATACTAATTAGAATAATGAGAAATAAGATATAATGGAGTATCATATTTATAGGTATTTTGCACTGTTTTGCTGAGCTGGAATTTCATTATTTGTTTTTTAAGAGTGTTTTTCTATCATAAAACTCATTATTGAAGTTGTACAAGATTAATTAAATTTGTTTAGTATTTGTAAAGATATAACACTATTGGTTGTTATTCTACTTACAATAATTATAAAAATATGACAAATGATTAAATGATACTAACCAAAACATTATTGCAGTATATTCAGGTGCACTATGACAAAAATACCTGAAAGCCACTCATTGCTTCAGAAGTCTCGACTTCCTTTAGGAATACTTATACATCCTTTCAAAGATCTAGATGTAAGTCATATAATCAAATAGCTATTAAAATTTAAATGATCTACTTAAATTTCCAATTAAAGATAATTTTCTGTTACCTTTAATTATAACAAGGTTTGCTCATGAGTTTAAATGTGGCTTCATTAAACTAGGATTTGTTTTTTATTGATGATTTCCATTTCTTGATTGTTCTACACATGTATGATAACATTAATATTTGAATTAATGACTTTTTTCATTTAGTATTCAGACCAAAATAATTGATTTATCTCTGTCATTACTTTTGGGTCAAAATACATTTGTCATAACCTTTTACAGAGTTACATTTAAAATGTAGTTAAACAACTTTATTATTAATGTATGTCAATAAACTTAGAATTAAAATGTAGTTAATAATTTAGTGTTTTATATTGTCTCGTTACTATCATAAAGAAATATTTAGAAATCCTAAATCTTCACTTGTCTGTGTCATCTGATGTACCTACCCTCCGAGTTCTTTTCTTCAGATTTTATACCTTATATAATACAGCTCCTACAGTATTCATCCAATCAGAAATGTAAACCATACATTATTACAAGCAAAAATATAAAATTTTACCTTCCTATCTTCATGATTTGTAGAGATGACAATAAAATAATGAAATGCACAAGAAGAGAATCCCCTTTCATCTCTATCTTTGAAGGTATTATATAATCCACCTATACATGGCAGATGGACATGTTTATAAGCAATGGAAAGTTTGGATTCTCCTCTACATAAATCTTACAACTTTTGTTTTCTAGTGAGAAAGCCATGGTCAATAAAATTCATTGCTTGTAGATGTACCAGATGTAGTGCTCTAAGCATTTAAGGCATTTTTTAACCTATTTATAGCTTATTTAGAAAGCTGGTTAAATTAGTCATTTTGAGATATTCTAATTTAATGACCAACATATTTTCCATGACCTTACATGCATATTTGAAAGCAACATGAATTGTTATTTGAACAAACAACTTAGTGAAAAAAATGAGGCCTAGCACAGTTACACCTGAAAGTGCATAAATCATACATTTTACTGTGAAATGATGATTTTAAGACAGTTAGTGTTCAGTTAGAGAAAATAAGATACAAAATTTTAATGAAAAAACATTCTGCTATTCATTTAGGAGGTCATGGAGGTTATGCAAATTGGATGTGGAATCTGTAATCTAAAACTCGTACCAATGAATTAAAGACTTAAGAAATTCACAGACAAATCTTTAATAGGAACACTATTAAGATATCTTCTTTTTGTGTGCAAAAGACATGTAATGTTTACTGAAAGCTTACCAAATTTTGTAACAATACACATAGTACATTCAGAGATATAGTGTATATAGTTTCATGAATAAAAGGTAGTTCCATGGTGGGTCAGTTGTCAACTTCACAATCTTTAACAAATATATTGTTTTTGTGAATATTCCACATATAAAAAAAAGAGTGGAAACCTAATACTGAGATTAATATTTAATGTTGCTGTTGCAAATATATTTTTTGTTTCTAGAATAAACATTTCATCTTTAAGTATCAAATTTAATTAAAAGATGTTTTTTTTTAGCATATTCCAGTGATTCAGTGTGGATGTATAGTGCGATGTAGATCGTGTCGTACGTACATAAACCCTTATGTGACTTTTGTTGATCAGTGCAGATGGAAATGTAACCTGTGTTTTCGAGTTAATGATTGTAAGTAATGGTACCTTCAACAAGTTTTTATTGTATTTTAGCCTTTTTAGAAAATTTAGAAATTTTGATGTGATATTTAGTCTCTTGAAAGCATTATACAATTCTTTAAAGGAAGAATAAGCTATACCATTTCAACTATCCTCCATTTTGCACAAAAATAACTTTGTGAGCACATATATATGTTTGCAGTTATAGTGAATTAATTTTTGTGTCAAAAATATAGTTTAAGTTTTTGAAACAAAAATAGTTGAAGCAGATTTGTTATAATGGTCAAATTATATTTTGTAGTGACTGATCATTGAAGATTACTTCTTAATACTGTATCTTACTTGCTGGACATAAACAAGTGAATGTGTTCCAGGTACTTTTGATTTCAGTCCTTGTGTCTATTTATTATTGTTATTATAAGAGCTTCTTTGAGTTTCTTAACTTTCTAGTATTTTTCTAATGTCCAAGTTGTTCATCTTATTCAATTCAGTATGTGATGTCTGGATGCATGTATAATTTTTTAATTTGCTGCTTTATGATGTTTCTCTATAAAGTGATTTTGTTTGTCTGCGTTGGTTGAGACTCTTAGTAGTGGTATTTTGTCTGTCTCTTAATTTTAATTGTAAACTAGTTCCAAATGTCTTTAATATATTCTATAATGTTTAAATCGGGTATGGTTCAAAAGGTAGAATAACAGGGAAAAAAAAATTCTGTTGATGATACTTTTATGTTGCTTTTAATTTTTTCTGACTGTGTAATAAACTGCTTAGAGTATCATTTGCCTTAAAAAAGTCTTGTTGAGTAATTGGAGTTTTCCAAGGTTTTTAAGACCAATGCCTACTTAAAAATCTTCTATTGCATTGATGCAAAGATTACATGGTTACCATGAGCTGAAGTTGTTTATACCATTGCCCTAGCTCTTTGTAACAAAACTGTTCAATATACATTAAAAAATATACAGCAGCACTTTAGAATTCACATACTTAAAAGTAGACAGAACCATGAAGTACACCTTTACAGGGTAAAGTAGCATAAACAAAAACATATGGTTCATAGCATCCCTTGCTTGTATGAAGAAGTTCAAATTGGATAAGCATAATACAGCAGAGAATTAAAGAACTACAAGGTTCAAACATTCTTAATTCTAAGAAAATTTTGCCTTAATGGAACTTTTGTACAATATAGGATGCAAGATTGAATAGGATAAATCTGAGATCTGGTAATGTTTACAACATTAGAAAATGAAGAAAATAAAATAAAAAAAAAAATGTGAAAAGAAAGAAACCAATTGTTAATTTAAGCAATGAATCAGTAATCAGCATTACCTTCAGGACCATTGCCTTACATAAAACAAAGCTTCTTGTTGGTGCCTGGCTATCACTTGGGAGTCAGTTGCTGTCATACAAAACCACTTCTTGTTCACCTGTCTTCATGAAGAAGCAGACATCAATAATAAACTATTAATGAACATTTTATGCTTTTTAATTGGTCATTTGAATTTCTTGCCAGTACCAGAAGAGTTTCTTTATGATCGTGTTACCATGTCATATGGAGATCCTTTCAGAAGACCAGAGATGAAAAATGCGACTGTTGAATTTATTGCACCCTCAGAGTATATGGTAAGCTTAAACTTATACTTGATAATGTGTGACTTGCACAAGTACATTCTTTGATTTTTCTTCAATTAAAACAAGAAATAGCTATTATAGGAGAGAGAGAGAGAGATGAATAATTTCAACCTACTGTAAGAATGCCATTTTTCACAAATTTAAACAAAGCTCAAGAACCAAAGTTTTTTTTTTTATATGACTGTTTTCTCTATTATCTGATAACATGGGTTCTTTTCATCCTGTATTAAGAGTGTACAACTTGCACAGGATGTTTTGATATGGAAATATATTAAAAAATGTATTGCATTCATAAATTTTTCTTTTTAAAATATGTCTTCATTACTAGTATCAAATTAAAAGGGAGAAAGAAAGACCATTAGAAAATAGAGAGCCACTGCAGTCTGTAGAAAACATCAGTGCATCAGTATCTTTTTTCTGACACATCAACTTCACCTATTGTTTGGTGAGGTATATATGGATGGAAGCCAGCAAACTCAGCTACACCCACAGGAATCAAATGCATGGCTGGTTGGTGGGTAATGACTGTTGAAAGTCTGCTCACAAAATTTCATCATGCTTCTTGCAAAACGGGTTGTGTCAGTGTCATTCAACCAAACTGATGCAGAGCAGGTTTAAATGAAGGATGCACAGGTTCTTTGTTAGTGCTTTGCTCAAACTGGTATTGTTTGATATGTATATCAGTAAACATACAAATGAAAGTGATTTTTTTTCTTTTTACTTATTCAAGGAGTGGTGGGGCAAGGGTGTACAATCTCTCTGATTGCTATTGTTCTAGTTTGTATATAGGAATGTGTTGAGGGCTGTCTTAGGTGAGGTGCTTACATCTGCTTGGCCTTTCCTTTGAATTCTTAACATATGAGAGGTATTAAGTAGGGGGGGCATACAGGTGTATGTACCAAGAGACAATTCTAAATTAACTTCCAAGGGACAAAGCCTTCCAATTGTTCTCTTTATGGTAGTTATATATATATATATTGTGAAATATGCTGTTAAATGTGTGTTTCATCATTCTTTTCAAAGTGATAAGCAGTGGCTAAGAAGAAAATGAAATCATAAGCAAAACTTGAATTGTTCAAAAAATAGATTTTCTATAATTTTACAATAGTTTACAAGCATGCAAGACAAACATCAAATTTATAGATTATATAGATTTATTTGTTAAGATCTTGGTAATTCATTTTGTGTTAGTGTTGGATGCCTTTATCCATTCAGCCAGAATGGTACTTCTCTTATTATTGTTTGTGTTTCTGTTGTGTGTTATCTGAATTTATTTTATTGATTGAACAAAACTACATCTGTTTTTTAATTAAGGTACGAATCTTCCCAATAAATGTTGCTGTAATCATTGTTTGAAAAAAATGGATAACTACAATCCCAGGACTTTATTATTTAATATATCTTTCAAAATAAAAATTGGTTAGTACTCGTGCAACACCATTACTTTTTTTGCAGTTGCGACCACCACAGCCAGCAGTGTACCTTTATGTTTTGGATGTGTCACATGGAGCCTTAGAGACAGGTAAGATCATTTTTATTTTGTTAGAATGTGTTATATGTTTCATAAGCAGAGATGAAAACAAGAGACTTTAAATCTGTATATTAATATAAATGTATTTTTTTATGTTTTATATCACAAACAGAAATAAGGATAAGAGTTTAATGCTTATCAATTGTGTAAATGTCTTTTTATGTTTTAAACCACAACAGGAAGAAAAATCAAGTTTGAACTTTGCTTTATGTTGGTGCAAATTACTTTGCTTTGTATCAGATGGGAGAGAGTTTTTCCATTGTTTTGGCAGAACTCCACATTTTTGATCTTTAAAATTTTTTGAGCTGAGATTCATGTACATCTGATGAGAAAATAAAGGGAGTTAATTACTCCTGTTTGACAGATGTGGTTTGGCAGCATTGACATGGTAGTAAATGATATTATAGTTCAATTTGTTCAAGCCTAGGATACTTCAGCATATGAAATTAACCAGTAAATTTGGCAGCAAATAACCAGTTATCCTTACCCTAGTGGCATGATGGATAAGTACATTTTCAAGCAAGATCTGACTGTCATGATCACTTAACAATATGCTTCTCCTTAAAAAGTGTCACTGTAGTATAGATTCACATGAAAGAAATGGAAACCTATAAATAATTACATTAATTATGTAGTTAATGGAAGCTCGTAGGGAAATTTTTAGAGGTTAATAATGTGGCATATCCAATTCAAGCAATACTTTGATCTCATAGGCTATCAGATAGGTGTCGGTTCTTATTCTTATGACAATTATAACATCATCCATCCCTTTTTTAGTTTTCTTTTGTACATGCAGGAGTTATGTTTTGTAAAGATGTAATATCAATAGTTTGTAATGAGATCTTTTGTATATGATATGAGAGTTTTCTTGTTTATTTTCTGTCATTTTTCCTATTAAATACATTTCAATTTATTTTTTATCTATCCTCAAACAAGCATAAAGGCAACAATTTTAACTCTATTGTTAATTAGTTTAGATTTAATACTTGTGTTTTGGCTGTGATACATAGCCCTTTACAGTTGGACAATTGAGAAGTGCATGAGCTTTTGATAAAATTGTGTATATATTATATTTATCACATTATGATATATAGATAGGTATTATGATAAAGATGTTTAACATCATGAAAAATAGTTTTTATACACAATACACAATTATTTGAAGATGTCATACTGATCATTCAGGTTTTATCTTGTAATTTTGACCACCTTATCATCAAAATTGAGCTTGGCAACATGGTTTTTTTTGACTCAATGTACTTGAATTATCTTAAGTCATGTTGCCGACTTTCACCCACAAATTTCTGTACATGTCACTTTTGGGGTTTTATTGCTTAGTTTGTCTTTTTTCATTACTTTTTGGACAGTTCTTTAAGAAGGAGTTTGCACAGCTTAATAATCTTAAATAAGTGTGGTATACTTAAGTTTTAATGACTTACACATATCTTAATGAGAAAAGTTTATATCTTTCTTTTGTAGGTTACCTTTCAGTTTTCTGTAAAACTCTGTTAGAAGAACTTCATAACCTCCCTGGAGATTGTCGAACAAGAATAGGTTTCATCACGTTTGATAGAAGTGTTCACTTCTATGATCTTTCTGAGGGTCGTAATCAACCTTCCATGTTAGTTATGTCAGACGTAGAAGGTAAGATTATGATAGTAGCTGTTTAAATTGTGAAATTTCCAAAAAGATATGTCTTTTCATTTTAGAATTTTTTTTTTATTGTTGATCATAAAAGTTGAATTTTATTTCCTGGTTGCTTTCAACTTCATAGATATGCATTAATATACTTCTTTTGAGATTTTATTGTGTTGGTAGAAGTAATCACTACTTCTGGGTATAAATCGGGAAAAACATGGCAAAAACTGACGAAGATTTGTCAGTAGGCCTTAACTTTTAGAATGTCTTTACTGTTACTTTTATCATAGTAGGTACCTTGATTTTTGTTGACAACATATATTTGGTCCAGACCAATTTAAATCTAATAAACATACTTTGTTTTTATTAACTAAAAGTAATTTTATTTGAATACAATTAACCTTCTTGCTACAAGTAGATCATAGTGTGCATGTCATGATTTTTTACAGCTTTACATTCAAAATTTAATTAAATTACCTTGTTATTAATTTATATGAATACATTTAGCATTGAGGTGTTTTTAGTAAATCAAGCTTTAGTGTTATTTGAGTTTAATTTTTAATTCTTAAAGGAAATATTTAAATAAATTCTCATTCTCCCCTTGTAAATGTATTGTAACATTTGTTTGATCTGATTTGTCAGTGCTCTGTTTTTCATAAAACCCTCTCTGATGTCCTAAGTTTAATGTAAATTACTCATTGCAATAGAGGTATTACTAAGACATAGTCAATTTTTCCTATTTTTATTTACAGAGATATAAACTGGAAAGTCAAACCCACTTGCAATGCCTACCTGTCAATCTTCTTTTTGATAAATTGTCAATAACTCTCTGAATTTTGCTGTTACATAATTTATAATAAATAGAAAGGCAGAGTTTTAATTTGCCAAATGGCGTATAATGCAAACTTGTTTTTAATAGAGATTTTGTTATTTTGCCTACAGATTGAAAGTTACTATTGCCAAGTTCAGATTGAGTAGCCAAGGGAATTATTTTAAGCACTTATGTCTTAATTAGAAAGCCACTTAAATTATAATAGTTGCAGGAGGACATTGTTTGCCCTGTGCATTTTATTATTTTGTGTTCTTAAGTGCATACAGGAAATAAAACGTTATCTAATATACTGACATATACATTATGTCCATTATAGTAAGATGAAAAAATATTTTGAATCTTAACATGAAAATCACCTTGTACTCAGACTAGTCAAAACTCTGACTCCATTATTCACAGATAGAGCTTTAGTAAAAAGAGTTAATAAAACAATCTGATTTTTTTGTAATGCTTACTGAAAGCTTGCCAAATTTCTTGAAGATGCACTTAACACACTAAAAATTATAATATGGATATTTTCATGGTTACCTGATGGTTAAAAGGTCAGTCAGTTAACAATAATATTCATTAAATAAAGATTTGAGTGATAAGAATATTTTGCTGTAACTTACTGTTCTTGTTAAACTTAAGCTTACTTGAGGCTCGGCAGAGAAAAAAATTCTGTATCTTTCAAACATCTATAGTTTATTTAAGACATTCTTTTCATTACTGAAAATGTTTTCATGTTAACATAATATAACTTTTTTGGACAACATGTGTCCATCTCGGGTTTTCCATCCTCTAAACTAAATTAAATAAATAATTTTTTTTTTAAGCCAACTCTTATAATTCATATACTTATCAAGCTTTTTCTTAAACACACTTAAATTTACTGCTCCTACAACATCCATAGGCCAACCACCATGTTAGAAAAATAAAACTGTCTTAGCTGAAGATGACTCTTACCCTGCCATAATTTATATTTGTGTCCCCTAGTCTTACTATTCTCACTGTTAGGTATGAAAAAAGATGATGCATCAATACTGTCAATTCCCTTTACAATCTTAAACACCTCAATAAGACCCCCCCCCAACTACTTTTTTCAAGAGAAAACAATTTGAGAGATTTCAGCCTCTCCTTGTATGACAACTCCTCCATCCCATGCACCATTCTAGTAACTCTTCTCCAAACCCTTTCCAACAATTCATTGTCTTTGCTAAGGTAAGGAGACCAAGACTGAACACAATATTC